AGCAAGGGGAGGGGGAGGAGGAGAGGGGGAGGCGGTGGTGAGTGGTGGGCCCTCCCTCGTCTCGGGCGCCCGCAGCCCTGCGGGCGATCGCGGCGGAGGGCCGCGACAGCGACGCGCCACGTCGCGCAGCGGCTGCGGCGGGCAGCACGCGGGCTCGACAACCGCCCCGCCGAGCTCGAGGAGGAGGACAGAGGAAGGGGATGGGGGATGGGGGGGAGGGGGGGGAGGGCGATGAGAAGGAGAAGGAGGAGGAGGGACAACAAGAGAAGGAGGAGGGCGGATAAGGATACATACGCAGGGGGATGGAGGGGGAGGAGTGGGAGGAGGAGGAGGCGGAGGAGGACTGAGGAGGAGGAGAAGGAGGAGGAGGAAGAGGGAGGAGGAGGAGGAGGACAGAGGAGGAGGAGGAGGAGGAGGAGGAGAAGAATAATAATAACAAGAACAATAAGAATACTAATCACAATACTACTATTAATAATGATACTACTAATAATAATACTAATAAGACGAATGATACTACTACCACTACTACTACTACTACTACTACTACTATTACTACTACTACTACTACTACTACTACTACTACTACTACGACTACTACTACTACTACTACTACTACTACTCATAATAATAATATTAATAATAATAATAAAACTAATAGCACTACTAATAATACTCATGATAATACGGATAATACTAATAATAGTAACACTGACAATAATACTAATAACAATACTAATAATACTAATATAATATTAATAATAATGCTAATACTAATACTAATAATAATGATGATGATGATGATGATGACAAACAAAATAATAAGAATCATATGAATACGATAACTAATAATAATACTAATAATGATAATGATAAGAAAGAAGAATAATACTCATAATAGGAATACTCTTAATGCAAATAAGAAGAATAATAGTAATACGGATTATAATAACGACAACAACAATAATACTAATCATAAGAATAATGATGATACTACTACGAATAAGAAGAATAATAAGAAGAAGAAGAAGAAGAAGAAGAAGAAGGGAGGAGGCGGACAGAGGATGAGGAGGAGGATGAAGAGGAGGAGGAGGAGAAGGAGGAGGAGGAGGAGGAGGGGGAAGGAGAAGGGGGAAGGAGGAAGGAGGAGGAGGAGGAGGAGGAGGAGGAGGAGGAGGAGGAGAGGGAGGAGGGGGAGGAGGAGGAGGAGGAGGAGGAGGAAGGAGGAGGAGGTGGAGGAGGAGGAGGAGGAGGAGGAGGAGGAGGAGGAGGAGGAGGATAGAGGAGGGAGGAGGAGGAGGAGGAGGAGGAGGAGGAGGAGGAGGAGGAGGAGGAGGAGGCGGAGCGGAGGAGGAGGACGAGGAGGAGGAGGAGCGGACGAGCGGAGGCGGAGGAGGAGGACGGAGTGGGAGGAGGACGCAGCGGCAGCATCAGGACTCGGCCGCCGCCCCGCCTCGATCGTCATCTCGTCGGTGAGGGAGAACGGGCAGATCAGGGCGCCCCAGGACTCCTGGACGGCTCGGCGGCCGGGGGGCCCAGAGCTCTCGGGCACGGCGCCGTGCTCCCCGCTGCTCGCCCAGGAGGGGGGGGGGGGGGGGGGCAGGGGCAGGGGGGGAGGGGCGAGGCCGAGACGGTGAGGGCATCGAGAGGAGGAGAAGACGAGGAGGGGAGGGGGAGGGGGAGGGGGAGGGGGGAGGAGGAGGAGGAGGAGGAGGAGGAGGAGGAGGAGGAGGAGGAGGAGGAGGAGGAGGAGGAGGAGGAGGAGGAGCAGCAGCAGCAGCAGCAGCAGCAGGAGCCCTTGGAGTGGGCGGGGGGAGGGGCATCGAGAGGAGCAGGAGGGGAAGCTGCTGGGGGAAGGGTAACGACGCGGAGCATGCATCCTCTTCAAGGGGGGCGTCTGCAGTCGGGGAAAAGGGGCTTCTGCGGGCTCACCGGCCTGGGCTCGCCTCCCTCGGGGCCTCTCCTCGCCGCGCGCTCCCGGATCCAGCTCGCGCGCAGGCGACCTCTTGCAGGAGTCAGGGGCCAGTCGATAGGGGGGCCGTGCTGGAAGAGCCAGAAGACGATGACCATGATCATTAGTGAACGCGGAAACCCAGACCCCCGACGTCGTGATTTTTTCACAACGTCGACCCCCAGAAGTCTGGACCCTTTCCCCGGGACCGGTTTTTCATCCCGAGTCGTTTTTTGACGCTCCCGAGGCCCGGTAAGGGCCCCTGGAGGCCGAAAATAGCGAAAAACTTCCCGTAGTGATTTTTTCACGACGCGAGGAGGTCTGGGAACGTCGGTGGCGGTGTCGGTCATCGTCCGAATTGGTCAGCGCCAGTTCGTGGATCGTCCCCGCAAATCGGCGACGGCCTGCATATGGACCACGACAAACGGCCGGCGTCCCAGACCCCCGACGCCGTGATTTGTGTTCACAGCGTCGACCCCCAGAGCTCTGGACCCGTTCCCAGGGGCCGGCTTCTCATCCCGAGTCGATGTTGGACGCAAAATGAAGGAGAGTCCAAAAATGCCCCCAAAATAACAAAAAATGCTGAAACATATAGTCCCCAAACTAGGTTCTGACTGTTTTGGAATATTCCTCCTGTAGGGGGCAGGTCTGGGGGGGTCGACGCTGCGAAAACATCACGGCGCCGGGGGGGGCTGGGGTCGTGCCCTCCTTCTGCGCCGCGCGCGGAGGTCTCGCTCGCGTTGGGTGTGCCGCGGGGGTCAGAACTGCAGGGGGGGCATTGCGTCAAGATGCTTGGTGCTTACACATGTGTCGGCAACTCCGCGCGTCAAGACGAGAGGTGGCGACACTCCAGAAAGCAAGACGTTTGGGTGACGAAGGTTGGTGGCGACACTATGGTCGCCAACAGAATTGACGAAGATACTCTCAGGCGAAACTTGGTTTTTCATTTACCCCGAGATGATAAAAACGTGAGGCAACTTTTGCCTTACGACCCGATCTGAAGACCATTGCCTAATTTGCCGACCACGGCCAGCTATAACACCACGCGTAAGCCAACCAATATTCGTTAACCGCTGAAGCCAAAAAACTCACTGGTCTAAGTGCGACCGTTTGCTACTTATCATCCTGGGTCCATCTCTCCTGCTCCCTCTCCTCCTCTCCCTCCTCCTCCTCTGATGTCCTCCCCCTCCTCGTCCTTCCCCTCGTTCATCTTCCCTCCTCTCCTAGTCCTCCTCCTAGTCCTCCTTCTTCTCCTCTTCCTCCCTTCCCCAGCGACTCCCCCAGGCAGCAGCAGGAACGAAGAGAGGACGAACGGAGGAGGGCAGCAAGGACCTGATGAGAGGACGGCCGAATGACAGAAAAGAAGAACGGAAGTGAGGAGCAAGAGAAGGGAACAACGATGGCGAAAGGAACAACGAAGTGAGGAGCAAGAGAAGGGAAGTGAGGAGCAAGAGAAGGGAACAACGATTTCACTCGTCGGGCGGCGACCGCCCTCTCCTCATCCGTGGCCGACGCACCGCAGCGCAGCCGCTGCGGTGCCAGCACCCACTCGCAGCGCAGTGGGCTAGCGACGCGGCCAGCGCCCCGAGGGAGCCCCTTTACCCTCGAGGCTCTAAAAGGAAAAGGGGCCTCTCGAGCCACATCCCAGAAGACACGTGTTGTACTAGGTGTGTCTAGGTGATGCGTAATGTGTGTGTATCGTGTTGTAGTGTGGATCGTAGGCGTCGTCGGTGCGTACGTGCAGGTATGTGTGCGTGTGAGCGTGTGCCCATGCGTGTCCGAATGAGCGTGGTTAAAATCAGATGCGTGCGAACGTGTGTGAAATATTCTTTGAAGTGTCCCCCCTTATGTCACCCCTTTGTGGCTCGAGGAGGCGCTGCGAAAGAAAGAGCGCCTAGTGCCTGGCGCGCTTGAGGCCTGTAGCCTTCGCGCCGCCAGCGCTAGCGGCACTGCGCTTGCTGGGCGCGCCCGCCTTGCTCGAGGCGGCCACCGCCGTCTCCGAAGGCGCCTCCGCCTTCACCGCCTTCGGCTTTGCCGCGGTCGTCTCCGCCGCGCTCGAAACCTGCCGCTTCGCGTCGGGCGTCTGGAAGGCACTGCTCGGCGTGCCGCTCCTGTCGCCGCCGAACGCCACCTGGCCAGCAGCGGGCTGGCCCGCCGACCCGCCATCCGCGCTGGCTCCACCATCCACGGGGCGGAGCTCCTCCGCGATGGCCTCGAACTCCTTCCAGAAGCCCGCTGGCACATCCTTGTGCTTATCCGAGTGCTTGTACTTGTCCAAGTACTGTTTGGCCTGCTGTGGCCCCGTAGGGGCTGTCCTGAGGCCCGCCAGCATGCTCTGGCCACGCGTCATCGTCACCACCTGCAGCGCCTTGCCCTGCGTGGCGATCACAGCGTGGGCGACGTATCGCCACGGGCACGCCAGCCGAGCATCAGCCCAGGTAGGTGAGGGTACGCGTGAGGAGATGGATTGGGGAGCATCCCCCATCCATCTCCTAACGCTCACCCTCACCTTCCCCCTCCTCCTCCCCCTACTCCTCCTGCTCCTCCTCCTCATCCTCCTCCTCATCATCATCATCACCTCATCATCATCATCATCATCATCCTCATCCTCCTCCTCATCCTCATCCTCATTGTCATCCTCATCCTGATCCTCATCCTCATCCTCCTCAGCATCCTCATTCTGCCCCTCGGCACCCTCGCACCCATCGTCCTCACTGAGCCTCCACTTCCCCATCCTTTCGTGCCTATCCTGATGCCGTTGTTGCTGCTGCTCCTCATCCTCTTCCTCCTCATTCTCCTCCCCCTCCTCCTCCCTGACCACATCCTCATCCTCCTCTTCCTCATTATCCCTCTTTTCGTCTCTCTCACCCTCCGTCTCCTCCTCCTCCTCCCTCCTCCTCCTCCTCCTCCTCCAACCTCCTCCTCTCCCCCCTCCTCCTGTTCTCCAATCTCCCCTCGCCCTCTGCCTGGGCAGAGGGCGAGGGGAGGGGGAGCGAAGCTCGGCTGGTGGCCACGGTGATGCGTTGCACCCGTTGTGAACGCCACTCGCCATCGTGGCGATCCCAGTGGCGATCGACGTCGCCGTGCAGTCGTGCTCGTCGACCGTGGGGCTCACGTCCAGCAGCCTGCCAGCCCTGGACAGGTAGCTCAGCGTCTTGTGGATCGTGTTGTACCCCGCAGTCACAGCCGCGAGGTTGCTGAAGAGCCGAGCCCCGATCTTCTCGTTGTAGTTCCCGTGCTGGTCGATCGCCGCGCTGAGCTCGGGCAAGAGTTCGTTGGTCACCTTGCAGTGGTTCACCAAGGTCTCCGCCATCAGCTCCAGCAGCTTAGTCTGAGACGCACCTACGTAGACCGCCACCTCGCGGATCCACTGCCTCACGCTCTGGACGTTGACATCGCATTGCCAGCCCTCCTTCTCGAAGTCGAACGTCTCTTGCGACGACAAGTGTTTGTCCAAACGGAGCAAACCCCTTGCCGCCATGCTCTGCGCGTGCACGAAGGTGCCGAATACGGCGTCGTCGTTGCGCACCGTCTTCGTGGACATGTTGTTGTGTAGCGTCGCCGCAATCCCTGCCACCTCCCTGACCTGCGCCACCATATCCAAGTAGATCTTCGCGTACTTCGCTGGCATGTGGATGCTGTCGCCGTTGAGCGAAGTCCCTAAAATCATGACCTCTTCAACGGAGCCCGCCTCGATGAAGGAAAACAACTCGGACACGGCTTTGTTGAACGGCAACTGGTTCATACTCTCATCGTCTTTCGTCTCGCCGTCGACCCAGGCGATGCCGTCCAGCACAAGGCGCGAGGCATCAGCATTGAGAACCAGCCTGTTGAAGCACTCCTCGAACGCCACGTCCCGCAGCACGCTCTGGCTGACCACGCCCAAGCCGAACGGCATGGGAACAATGACCGAAACCTTCTTGGCCAGGAACGCGTCGCTGCAGCTGCTGAAGATCGTCTTGCCTTGACGGGGCGCCCTACTGATGTAGGCGCCATCTCGCATCGCTAACCTCCAAGTCAAAATCCGACCGAAGCCCCGAATGATAAAAAACTGTCGGCCTGGCGAGGCCTCGAATTGGTCTTGGGGGTCAGCGACGCGAGATGGCGAATCATCGGAAGGGTGCCCGACGAGCCTACGCCACCGAGGAACGCCTTGAAGTCGTTCGACGCCTTCTCCACGATGTCCTGGTTAGTCGCCGCGCTGTCGACAAAGAAACTGACATCTTGTCCATCCATATGCCGCATCACGCCTGCGAGCTTGACGAGGTCAGCAGTGAACGCATCCTGTTGCTCCTTCGTCTTGGACTCCTGCTTGCTCGCAGCCGCGACCTTCGCGCAATACTCCATGAACGCCATCATGTCCGACAGCATGGCATGCGTATGACTGATAACTGCTGACGTCCTGGTCGGGGATGTGGCGTGCTCACCGCTCAGCTTGTCCCACATCACGTCACCGACGCGCTGGTGTAAGGCGACTTTGCAGTTATGCCACCTGTCGTTCATTGTACTCAGGGTCCCCGTGAAGTCATCCAAGCTGGCCTTGAACTTTGAGACGGCGGTGGTGAACTTCTCGATGGTTTCATCATGCGAGGCGTTCGCAGTCACCTGAACCGTCTGCTCTGCCCCGTTCTCATCCTCAGCTGCCGCAGGTCCTGCCTCACCTTCAAGTTGCAGTTCAGCACCGCCTCCTCTGATAACTCCCAGAAGCGCGTCGCCGAGATTCGGAACAAGCGACCCCACCATCTCCATGTAGATGTCAACGGCCATGTAGTTGCCGATCATGATCATGACCATGGTGTTCTCCAGGTTCTGAATCACGAAGTCCAGGTTGGAGTGGGCCGACGTCGTACCCCACTTCTTGATCGACCCGAACGCGCTGGTGAAGAAGAGGCCCATCTGGTTGAAGAGGTCGTTGACGATGCCGAGTGCTGTATCATCAGCGGTGCTGCGCACCTGCGACATCCAGCCATCGAGGTCGTCGAAGCAGATCTCGAAAGCCTTCTCGAACTTCGACGATGCGGCTTTGAAAGCACTCGTCGCTGTGTCGTCCTCGATGCCCTGGGCCACGTGAAGGCGGCTGGCCTCCATCATCGCTTTGCCCAGGGGGAACGCCTGCATGGTGCGCGCCAACTCCGATGCTGGCGTGCTCTGCTGCCTCACCTGGTCGAGGATCACCCTCCTTGCGATGCGCACGCCTTGTGTTGGAGGCCTGGCACACTCCACGTGGTTCATGCACCTCGCCACGACGGCAACGCTTGAAAGCACCTTCGACACCAGAGAATCGCTTCCCATGATCAAGGCATCGACCCGACATCCCCTGGATAGAAGAAGCTCCCAAAAGCTTCAAACAACCGGCCTAAAACTTCAAAAACCAGGAACTCAAGTTTCACAATTCCCCTGAAAACATCACGCATGGGCAGCGATTCTTTGCCATCGCCAAGCCTCCGAAAACGAATCGTCCTCAAGATCGGTCCGCATGCGCTTCTCCTTGTCTGCCCACTTCTTGGCGATGAGCTCGATGTCGACCATGAGGTCGTAGCTCTTGACCTTGTCCTTCATGATGCTCTCAGGGAGGTTCGCAATCCAAGACCTCATGGAATCGGAAACCATGACCGCGAAGTGGAAGAGGGGGGTCTGCTCGATGACGGCTCGTTGCTTCAACTGCTCTCCGATGCGCTTGGCGGCCTTCCTAGCATTAAGCGTTCTCTTCCCCGCGCTTGTCTCCGCCTCTGTCTTCACGACAGTCGCCTTAGCAGCAGGCTCCTCCACAGGCGCCTTGGGCGTGAGCTCCCTGATCTTCGCGAACGCCTCGAGGATGCTGGCATCGAACTCCTCGATGGCACGCCCGACCGACTGCAGCTTGATGGACATCCCCTGGAACGTAGCATAGGTCAAGGCGATGTTGAGCTCCTCCGACATGTGTTTATTAGCATGCAGCATGTACCCGACAATGATGGAGAATGGTTCCAGGGTCTCTTGCAAGAGCATGTCTATTTGTGATTCGACCCACGCCTTCAACGCCTTGTGGAGAGCAATCAAAGCTGAACACCGATGATCTATCTGGTGAAAGGCCACTTGATAGTCGAAGGCCACCTTCCCGATGATATTACCATTGTGTTTTAGCAGACGCCTGTGTAGGGCATGCAGCGTCCCAAGAACGAACTCCTGAAACCAGGCTGGGTTGACAAGCTCCTCGACGTACGCGTTGATCGTTCCTCTGATCCTGACCAGCGGGTTATGCCTGACAGGCCAGTTCGCAGTCATCGACAACTCGCCAACACCCTTCTTCTTCAGGAACTCCAATGCCTCCTCACCGTCGGTACATGCTAGCTCTGCTGCGTCCGTATCAACTTCTTGTCCTGGTTGCTCGTCTCCGTCAGCATGATCACCAAGGTCCTCACCTTCTGCGCCCTCAACGGGTTCAGCCATCTCGGGAACGTCATCAGGTAGAAGAGTTGGCGGCTCGACCGCCGTGTGCTTCATCATGAGAACGATCTTCGTGTACATGTCTCTGGTAACCTCCCGAAGCTTCCTGGCGTTCGCATCCTCGGTTGACTCAGGCTCCTGTTCCTCCTCTTCCACTTCTTGCTGGGCTGCGGGCGCGCCTGTATTCTCCTCCTTGGCGGCCTCCTCTGGGAACTCCAACTTGGCGTCCTGGAACGGATGATCAGGAAGGAAGCGATCCATGACAGACGGATGGACTGTTGCCCGAAACTGTGCCATGCTGCCAGCACGTCGCATAGCGGGCCTCGCTGCCACCGCAGTGCACGCCAGGGCATCCTCGACAGAGGGCAGCTCCACGTCGCAGTCCATGGGCTCCGAACCGTTCCCCTGCGCGGGTTGTGACCCGCAAGCGCTGCCACTCGCCATGGCCGAGGCTGCCCAAACGTTTTCAAGCAAGGGGTGCACCTTGGGCCCGAACGCTAGTAACGTTTCGCAACCTAGGTATCTTGGAAGGTCTTGGGCTATCTTGGGGCCTTGGGTCTTAGACCCGCGGGGCCAGCATGGGCGCTTTGGGGACACATTTTGTGAATTTACAGGGTTTGGGCCTTCCTGTGAGGCCCCCATTAATCCTTCTCCCCGTCCTCCTTCTGTTTTCCCCCCTTTGATTCCCGCCCAGAATGATTTTCCCACCGGGCTATTTCCCCCCCCCCCTACCCCGAGAAAACCTCAATCGAACCCCTCGGGCTCGTCGAACTCACGTAGAGTAGACACGTTCCGCTCATCATCTGGAGGTGGTTCTGGTGGGGCGAAAGGGGCAACCCGACCGTATGAATGATAACGCCAATAGAAAAATATATCCACTCCTGCATCCAGCGGGAACCAGCGCCAATTGATGTAATCAAAAGAAGACATCCTGAAAACACCTCGAGCCTGGAAACTATGGGTGGTGTGGGGGGGGGTGCGCTAGCTGAAGCCCAAGACGCTCGTACGACATCGTGTTTGGAATTTGTAAGTCGGGGCGGCCGTGCCGTGCGTGTGCGTGTGCAAACTTCACTTGTGTGCATGTAGTAAACGCACGTATGTGTGATTATTGAAGTTGTGACAGTGGCGTCGTCTTTCGGCGCGCGTAGCATGTCGCCGAGGCGCGCAAAAAAAACTTGCGAGGGCGTGCAGGGTGGGGGTCGCGCGCGTGTGTGTGCGTGTGTGTGTCTGTGTGTGTGTTTGCGTGCATGGCGTTTGCGCGCGCGTATGAATTTGGGTGTGTGCGTGCGTGCGTGCGTGAACGGTTTGGGTGATGTTGGTGCGGTGAGGATGGCGGTGCGTGGTGGTGATGGTGGATGGGTGGGTAGTCTGTGCGTCGTAGATAAAGGGGGGGGCGGTGGGGAAGGTGGCGGGTGGATGATCACGGTGGATGGGTGTGTGAGCACACGGGCGCACGGCCACAGTTGAAGTGGGATCGCGTGTATGTGCGTATGTGTGGGTATGCGTGTGTGTGCGAATGCGTGCGCGCGTGTGCGTGTGTGTGTGCATGTGCATGTGGGGTGAGGTAATGACTGTGGCGAAGGCACGTCAGGAGGCGGGAAGGGAAAAGTAATGCGAGTGGGGCGCGGGCGGGGTGGGGTAGCTGGAGGGGATGGATTGTAAAGGGTGGTGACAGTGGTGTTGTTGGTGTGGTGGTAGCGCGGTGGTTGTGTTGGTGTGTGGAGCGAATTTGAGTGGTAGGTCGGGTGGTGGAGGTGGTTGTGGTTGTAGTTGCGGTGGGTGGTGGGTGGTGGTGATGGTGGTTGTGGAAGTGATGGTGGTGGTGGTGGTCGTGATGGTGGTGGTGGTGGTGTGCGTGTGTGTGTGATCGTGCGTGCGTGCGTGCGTGCGCGCGTGTGAGCGCGCGTGCGCGTGGGAGTGGTGGGGGGTGGGGGTGCGAGGGAATGGGGGGGGGGGCAGGGGGGGAAGGTTGGCGCGGCGGGGTGGGGTGGGGCGGGGTCGGAAGGAGTGTGGGGGTGGGGGTGGGGGGGGGGGGAGTGATGGGGGGAGTTGGAGGATGGGTGATGGGTGAGTGGGTGGCTGGGTGGGAGTGGGGGTGGGGCGAAGGAGTGGTGGTAAAGGAATTGGACAGTGGTGCTGGTGGTGGTGCTATTGGTGGTGGTGTGTGTATGTTTTGTGTGTGCGTGTGTGGTGGGTGTTCAGATTGTTGGCGGTGTTTGGTGCGTGGTGTGTGCGTGGGTGGAGAATGACTCGGTGGGGTTGATGGTTGGAGTTGTGGTGAAAGGGCAGGGTTGTGTGGGGTGGCGTTTGGCGCCGTGGGGTCTGGTGGTGGCGGTGGTGGGTGGTGGTGGTGGTGGTGGTGGTGGTGTTGTTGGTGGTGGTGTGTGTGTGGGGGGGGGGGGAGGGGCGGGGGGGGAAGGGGGTGGCGCGTGGCGTGTATGTGTGTGCGCGCGCGTGTGCGTGGTGGGGAGAGGGTGGGGGGGGGGGCGGCGGTGGCGAGCGCATATGGGGCGGGGGGGCAGAAGGCTCGTGGCTTGTAGCAGGGGAAACGGTGAGCAAACAATGGCTGCGCAGCAGCGCATTTCCGCCTTCGCCCTGGCATGTTCGCAGTACAGCGGTCGCCACTGCCACGATCGCATGGCGCGGCCGCAAAGCGCTGGTCCCATTCCAGAGTCGGCTGCATGTGTTGCGTTGCCGCGGCCGCGCTGTCGCGGTCGCGTTGTCATGGCCGCCTTGCCATGGCCACGTCGCCGTGACCGCAATTCGCGCTGCAAGACGGTCGCGCTGCTTTGGTCGCATTATCTTGGTTGCGTTCCCATTGCAGCATGCCCGCGGTCGCATGAATTGCCTTGGGCGCATTGCGGTCGTCGCACTCGCGCGATCGCATGCCCATGCCGGCAACGCCGCGTTAGCAGCAACGCCGTGGCTGCAGTGATGTGGCAGCAAGGCGCTGATCCCATTCCAGACTCGGCCACAGCAGTTTCGTTGACACGGTGGCGTTGCCATGGCCCAATTGCCGTGGACGTTTTGCGGTTGCACATGTCGCGCAGCGTTCGCAGTGCTGCGATCGCGTTGCCATGGCCGCATTGCCGCGGCCACGCTGCCGCGGTCGCGACGCCGTTGGCGCATTGTTTTGACAGCTGTGCCAAAATCATACTGCCTTGGTCGTTCTAACCATGTCGCATTGCCGCGGTCGCAGTACATTGGCCACGCTGGTTGAGCCGCATCTGTAGCATTCCCATGGCGCCACGTCCGCGGTCGCATTGCCCAGGCAGCGTTCCCACGATTGTGGTCCCATTGCCGTGGCAGCTCTAGGCTCTGCCATCCTCCCATTGCCCTGGTCAAGCTGCAGGGATCGCACTGCCGTGGTCGCGCTCGCGCGATCGCATCACCGAGCCAACGCTTCCGCGGACGCGTTACCATGGTCGCTTGGTCGCTTTGCCTTGATTGCAATGTCGTGGCAACTCTTGTCCGCGGTCACAGCGCCGCTGTCACGATGGCGCGCTCGCTTTTACGTGGCTTCAAGGCGCTTGCACCATTCCAGAATCGACTACATCTGTTGCGCTGCCGCGGTCGCATCATGGCGGTCGCATTCCCGCGATCGCATTGCCATTTCTGAATGTTAAAGACACGCTGCTATGGCAACCATCGCCTGGTCACATTGCCGTGGTCGCATTGCCGATGTCGCAATTCCGCGGTCGCAGCGTCGCGGTCGCAATGCGGTGGTCGCGTTGCCGTGGCTGCTTAATCGCGGTCGTCCTGCCGCGCTCGCAGTGACGTTTGGCAATGCGCTCCCACAGTCGTGGTGTCGGGTTTCCGTTGGCGCATCGCCGTTGCCGCGCTGCCATGGTCGCCTTTGCGATGTCGCGGTCGCACTGCGCTGGCGGTGGCGACGGCGTCGGCGAGCGTTGGCGACGCGCGCGAGATTGCTTGCGTGCGCGCGTGAGCGTGGGTGGTGGTGGCGGCGGTTGGCGGCGGTGGCGGTGGTGGAGGGGGGCGGGTGGTGGTGGGGGGGGGGGGGGTCGGCAAGCGCTAAGCCAACATCTGCAATCCAAGCTTCAATCATCTTTGCGTTTTCGTTGCGTTGACAAGGGCCGCCGTTGCAGGCTCATCGCGCGACGCGCAATCAAACGAACATGCCGAACGCGCATGTTGCGCGCGAGCGCAGCGCCACATCAGCAATCGCTAAGTAGGAAACGCTTGAAGGTCCTGGCCAGCATGGGAGATGTCCTCAGAGACGCGCCAATAGAACGCGCGCGCGAACTGCATTGTTTCGCCAGCGCGCTGTCACGTTCGCCCCCAGGATAAGGTAGATGCTGCATCGGAAAACGCTAAGTGACCACGCGGCCACCGCGGCGGTCTGCCAACGCGGCGGCTGCCCTTTCTGCGATCGACACAATAACATGGAGATGGCGCGCGCAGATGGAACGCGCGGCTCGGCAGCGGGCGACCGCGGGAAACGCAAGCGTTACGACCAGACTGTCATCGTCGGCAGCTGCTACGAATTGCTCACTTGAGTTTGCGCGTCGCCATGGCGGTTGCCGACAGAGCGCGCGCGCCGACAGGAGTCGCGCGCCGCCTTAGAAGCAGATGCAGTGACTAGCCCGCCCGACGCGAAGCACAGTGGGCGAGTTGCGCCACCGCGCAGCAGTAACAGGCTGCAGTTACTTCACTAGGGCGGAACGGAGCGCGCCGATACTTCCGTAGGCGCCGACAAAGGCGACGCAAAGCGGCGGACGCAGCAAGTCAGGTAGTCAACTCAGGTAGGCAAGACGCGGACGTAGTCAACTCGCGTAGTCAACGCCAGAAGCCGACGAAAGCAGGCGTAGTCAACGCCAGAGGTCGACGAAAGCAGGCGTAGTCAACTCGCGTAGGCAACCCGCGGACGTAGTCAACTCAGGTAGGCAAGTCAGGTAGTCAACGCACGTAGGCA